AAACGAACTTTACAACTTTGGTGGTGGGGGGGAGGATTGGGGGGGCGGGGGGAGGCTGGGAAGGGATGTGAAGGGTAAACAAAGGAGGAGGCTGCAATGCTTGATAAGAAATGTACTCATTATCTTGCCCATGTAATTGTAACCCCTCTGTACAGTATGTTCACAATAAAAAAAATTAAAATGTTCTGTATCCAGGATTAAATCACCCACTCCAATCTTTCACCAATTCACAACAGTAACATTTTTATGTGCAGCTCTTCCAACTCTCATCAATATCTGCTTAAATCTAGAATGTCTAGAAAAAGGGATCATTTATTATCTTGGAAAATTTGAGTTGATATTTTGTTTTTAGATGGCAGCATCAACTACTTTTGGGTCTAGGACTTGCCTCCAAGTTAGAACTCTAGGCATATTCCTTCTTCCTAAATTTACTCTGTTTTCTCTAAGGCAAAAGTCATTTCATGTCTCTAACCAATGATCACTAGGAAAGTGGGCTGTGTGAAATGTGACCTTCACTGATGCACAGAGACTGAGTCCCCCTATGCCCCATTCCCCAACAGACTAGATGGCGGCATGGCTTCGTATAATCAGTGGGACACTGCCTGGTGAGGCTAGGGAGAAGTCTCACTTGCACACAAGAGCTGTCCTCTCCAGTTTCTACTTACTGGGAAGCACCATAGCATGAGGTTTCTTTACCTTGTCCCTTGTCTCCATTCATCTACTTCCTCAGAAAGCAAGGAGCTGTGCATAGGGTACTCTTCTGTCCTCCTCTTTCCTCTATTTCCTGCCTCCCTAGAGCAACCAACACAGTGCATCCCCTCAAACACCCCCATCCCATTTGCACTGGTGACACATACTTGTAAGACTCTACAATTAGCACTTTGAAGTCTTTGGACACCCCCTATAAGCAATGCTGACCTGCTGAACCCAGGAAATCCTGTTTCCCTGCTAAAGAAAAAAACTTGCATGAATTTGTTTTTCCACCTCTTGCCCAGTTATAAAGAAATTTCATACACATGGCTGTATCTAAAATCAAGATATAGCCTCAAATTTCACTCTCAATTGTTTAAAAGAAGATTTCACTGCCCCCCATACTATTCCTACAATAAAAATTCAGGTTATTTTTTTATCATATCTCTTGGGACTTAAGAAAGACTAAAACCAAAAAAGTATTGAAAAATAGAGTAACTACCACGTGTGGTCTATATCTACAGAAGAACACATGCCAAAGGATTCACTGAAAGAAAAAGTAAATAATTCTAAAATAGAAGCTTATTTTTCCTATTTACTTTTCTTTTTGACTATCTTCTTGTGTGTATGTGTTTTGGAAGGCTTGTAGTATTTGTGGCCTCAAGGAAGCTTTCAAACAATTGGAATATTAATACAGGAATTCTTGGTCTCTCTAAAACTGCAGTAATGACAGGGGGCTCTCATAGTAGGTGCTGAAATTCTTTTTTTTACTTACTTTTTTATTATTATGAAAATAAGATACAGAGGAGTTACAATAGATAGTAAGTGAGTATGAAATTCTTTTAATCACACCAAACAAAGGCTCTCAGGATGTGTGGAAATCAAACCTCTGCTTAGAGAGTAGTAAATTTCTAAACAGGGTAACTCAAATAGTGTTAGCTTACTACACAAAAAACTTATATTTTTGTTCTAATATAATCTCATTAAATATCCTTCCAAATTTAGATGGATATGGATTTCACTTTTAGAAGATATAGTTTATACATTTAAAAGTGACTTATGAAAACCACATTCAGAATTGTGTCGCTGAAGAATTCTAGACTATTCTGTGTTTAAAAAAAAAAGAGTAATGTTGAGTTGAGTGTTGATGGCTCACACCTATAATCCTAACTACTCAGGAGGCTGAGATTTGAGGATTGTGGTTCAAAACCAGCCTGGGCAGGGAAGTCCATGAGACTCTTCTCTCCAATTAGCCACCAAAAAGCTGGAAGTGGAGTTGTGGCTCAAGTGATAGAGTGCTAGCCTTGAGCAAAAAAAGCTCAGGGACAGCTCCCAAGCCCTGAGGTTAAGCCCAAAGACAAATTAATAAAACTGTTTTAATATTTCCTTTGTACTTTGAAAGCTTCTTTTATTTTTTGGGCTCCTTTTGCTTGCCTGAATTACGTTATTCTTAAGAGTTATCCATCTGTTCGATTGAAACTTTGTATTGTTAGAGAACAACAAGAAATGAATATCTTATTGCCATATAATTCTGTGATTTCTACTGATAAAATACCTAGATGGAGAAGATAAACCATGTTTTTTGGAGTATACAATATGATTTTTTTTCACTTTGCCAACTTACCAAAATGGTTTTCTTTGGTTCTTATTATCCATCAAAATTTGGGAATGTGTCATCATTCATTCATGTCAGCAGACATTTTTAGAGGGCTTATTATGAGCCAGGCATAAGCCCTAGCCTACATATGGATTTTGACCCAAGAAAACTTACAGTTCAATAGGGAACACAGTTATTTGGCAGATTCTGTACCAAAAACTATACAACTACTATAATAGCTTTGAAGAAAACACACAGTGACTTAGTAACTCCATTTAGACTAAGGAGCTAGGGAAATGACAAGAAAGATCTCCCTGGGAAATGGCAATATTCTTTTATTACATACTCATAGAAGATTTTAGAATTAGGCACACAAAAGATGGTCCCAAATATTCCAAGGCAAAATGAGGTATAGGAAAGAGAAGGGTCTGGAACTAGACAGATCTGATTAGATTCCCTGTTATAACTGTAGTGCCTGCAGCAGCTCATATTGAGGACTATGGTCAACCCATAGGTCTGTGGAATTAGTCTCTGTGAAAAATACACAAAGCACTCACTTCATAGTAATTGCTCAATAAACTATAGCTAGCAAGTAACTCAGAATCGATACTGATTTATGTGTGAGCTTTGACATCTCAGAATAAAGATTATTTTCATTTAGACTTTGGTCTTGACAGAAATAATCACTGAAAAAGAAGAAACTCCAAAAATCTATTCTAAACACAAATGCTAATGGTGTCCATGATTTTCTCTAGTCAGGTGGCCATCAGGTATCATTTATTTATACAATGTTGGCACTTATATAATAGATTTTCTTGACAGATACATAAACACAGGCAAAAAGAAGAGTTGTTAGATTGTGCCCAATAGCTTTCTATCCACATTAGGAAAGAAATATGCATTAGGGCTTTGGAAAGGTAAACTCCTTTAAGGCAGGTAAGTGTTTTTCATGTCATTAACTGTTTGACTGAGAGGACACTGGCAAAGCCTTTTAGAGGAAGCTTAAATTCACTCTGCAGCCCAAGAAGTATTTCCCACCCCTTATTTAGCTTTCCTTATCCTTTTTCCAGTACTTGCAAATACTGGCAGGACAGGGCAAGTGACACTTGCTCATTCCTTTATTGGAAACTCACTGCTGCCTCGAGGTACAGCTGGAGAAGCCTCATCTTCCAGAAACTCCCCATTCTCCACTAATCTTACTGAGTATACCATCCAATGACCACATTAGTGGTGAATAACCCTTTTCCTACTTTAGCAGAAGGCCAAATGTTTCAGATACCATACTTATTCAACTTCTATGCCTCAATCAGAAAGAATGACATTGTCACGTTTGTTAGGAAATGGAAAGACTTGGAAAAAATTATATTAAGTAAAGTAAGCCAGGCCCAAAGAAATATAGGTCCCATGGTTTCCCTTATTTGCAATAACTAGTATATGTCTGAGACAAGCAGAAATGGTCAGATAAGTTGATGTTAGGCGAAATGAACCCCAAGATAAGGACTCAAATTGTTTTTCGTTCTTGCTATTGTTTCTAACATATTTATAAGATGATTTCTTTGTTGCTTTGTATGTCCCTCCCCCACGGTATAACCCCTGTTTTCACTGTATTTGATGTTGGTATAATTTGTGGAGGGTAAGGGAAAAAACCAATTGTTTAAATAGGGATACAGGTAGACCATTGTAACAATGAGATGTACAAGTCGTTATGTCGAAAAACAAACTTTACAACTTTGGCTGGAGTGGGGAGGAGGGGTGCAGGAGAGTGTGGGGGAGATGGGAAGGCATGGGAAGGGGAGACAAAGGAGGAGGCAACAATGCTTGATAAGAAATGTACTCATTACCTTGCCCATGTAATTGTAACCTGTCTGTACGGTATTTTCACAATTTAAAAAAAACTAAGTTGAATAAACTAACAATGGCAACCAGAATGAGAGAATGTCTCATGTACTCAAATACCTGGCACTCCTCTGCTCTGCAAAATGGGAATTTAATTTAACTCCCAATAATCAAGGGGCATAAAGGGGTGAATGGGTGGTCTTGAAAGAGGAACTCCTGGAGTTGGGGGCCTGGGTCCTAAAACTCCAGTTTTAGTACTTGTCTATTGCATCCATTTTTTTCCTTAACAGAGTCCAGCATGTAATGCCCAATGGGCACCAAAAATCTTAAGTGAATGAATGAATGACCTGTTATACACAGTGGCCACAACTGGAAGGTACAACTTTGCAAAAGTATGCAATAGACATGTAAGAATAGAGGGAAAGTAACTATGAATGGAATAACAGGGAGGGCCTTTGACCAGTCTAAACACAGAGCACTGTCCACCCTCACTGGCCTGAAAGCTCATCAACCCTGGGATAGCTGTTCCAGTCTATTCTGGGGGAGACAGGACTTGTAATTAAAACATATGTTTCCATAACTGATCAACTTGATGTGAACTAGGATTTTTTTTAATTTCATAATCCAATTTTACTTCTCTTTTAGAAACCTATAGACTTAATCTTAATCCCAAATTGAAAGTAGATGTTGTTTAGGGTTTAAATGGGAAATGATTCTTTTTTAAATTTTATTGTAAAGGTGCTATACAAAGAGAGGGGTTACAGTTATGTAAGTAAGGTAATGAGTACATTTCTTTTCAGTGTTACCCCCTCCCTCATTGGGAAATGATTTTTCATTTACAAGGCACATGCCTTTGATACAAAACTTGTTTACTTACTTTTTCCACGTCTAGATCATCATCCTGCTTCTTCAAAAACTGTAGAAGAAAAAAAATAATGAGACATCAAAAGAGTATCAAGCAGTCGTTGCCTGAAAACCACCCACAAGAAACCATCAGAGAATTTCCATACATTACAATTTGCCCACAGATTTTCTCACATTCACACAATTGTCACAAAGCCACACTTGCCACAACCACCTGCCTCAAACTGTAAAGACCTGGCCCTGTACCACCAAAGGAAGCCAACATGAAACTTTAACTTTATGGAGCCAAAAAAAATAAGGATAGAAATCTTTTTTCCGGGGGGGGGGAGTCAGGTCGTGGGGCCTGAACTCTGGGCCTGAGTGCTGTCCCTCAGCTCTTCAGTTCAAG